AAAAAAAAAAAAAAAAAAAAAAACAAATAAAAAAAAAAAACGAAAAAAAGAAAAATAAGAGAAAAAGAGAGCCGATAAAACTAGCCCTTTCAAAACCAATAAAAGAAGGAGATGGATGGTTTATCCTTCTTTTATATTTTCTCACTGCTCTTCCTTATGTTCTTGTTCTTCTTTTTGCTGTGGTGTATCTGAGATGTTAACCTGTGACTCCTGCTGCCATCCTTCGCACACATCTACCCACTCCACATAGCGTGAGAAACGCTCCAATTCTTCAATCTCCATAGGCACTGTACTATTTGCTGTTCCTGCTGCTGGATATACAGTTTGAAAGCGACGTAGTGAGACATCAAGGAAAACACGTACATTATCCTTTACACCAAATGGACAAACACTACCGGCGGGGAATCCAATCACGTTTTCGAGATCCTCACGTTTAATCATCTCAGGTCGACGTGCAAACTTGTCGCGATACTTATTTGTGTTTACTTTTGCATCTCCTGCGGCGAGAATGAGAATAGGAATGCACTCCGCATTTTTTTTCTTTGCGAGTGAGAAACTGAGACTCTTCGCGATCATCGCTGGACTGCAGGAGAGTTGCTCTGCAGCGAGTTCCACTGTGGCACTACTCGCCGGGAACTCTCGGAGTTTAGGCAAAAGATACTCGGCGCCATTCGTCAAAAGATACTGTTTGACCTTCTCCAGACCCACAACCTCAGCCATCTGACAACCAAAGAGAGTAACAGCTGTTGGTATTAATACTATTATATAATAATAATAATAATAATAATAATAATAATAATAATAGTGGTGGTATAAAAAGATTGGGTGACTGACAGTCCACCGGGATGGCTATTCATATATAGGCATAGATGTATTCCAATTATGATAAATTAAAAAAAAAGGTAAATTGAAAGAGTAAAAGAGAAATAAATCCAAGAATTACAAAATCAAAAGAGGTAAACGCAAAAATAAATACACTTAGAACAAATAAAGAAATAATAGAAAGAACAGGAAAAGGTTCATAAACCAACAAAAGTTGTGGGACTTCAACTTATGTTCACCCCAGAAAAATACTCTTTATGTATCCCCTCATCTCATTGCATGTATCTGTGAGTAGAAATGGTTTTTTTTTTTTTTCTTATTGTTTCCCATTTTTTTTTTTTTGAACAAATAAAGGAACACAACGACAGACTGAAAACCATTTTTATTATTATCATAAATGATTTTGTTGCTCCTTTATTCTTCCAACAACTCGTGAAAACTTTGAAAACACAGCTCCCAACCGCACCTTTCTTTTCCCCACGTCTACACTTTTACCCCGAAGACGCTCCTGTCGCTCACAATAGCGTTCCAATATTCGTTTCTTTTCAGCCTCCACTTCTTCCACCACACGTGGGGCAATAGAAACAACTTCTTCACTCATAATATAAGTATCAGGTGTAAGTATACCACGTAATATTAACATCTCCACAAGACTTAGTACACGTTTCTGCCAAAAGGGAGTAGTAACTATGTTCTTCTTGTTACTATTACCTCCTGTAGTAGTAGTATTATTTGTTGTTTCTGTTGCTGCCACACGTCGCATACCAACGTGTCGTGTAAATGCATATGCTAGTTCCACAAGTAGTGGATGATAATTATCTAGAGGAATAGTCAATACAGAACGCAGAAGTTTTTCAACTAAATCAGGAGATGCGATAAGTGCGTGTATAGATTTGACACTAGCATGTGTATCATTTAGTAACGCATCATATAATATCTTTGACTTTGTATTCAGTAAATCCAAATGGGATAAACGACCATGAGTTTCACAGTACTCATGTGTTATTGATAATATATGATGAAGACTATCAAGGAATACAGGCATGGAACGAATATCGATAAAACTTGTAGTAAATACCATCCGTGGTAAAGAAGAGTTTTCCATACCCTTCTCAGTATTTTTAGAAAAGGTAGTAGTGTTCCCATAATCTCCAGTGGTTAATGACGAGGTTGAAAACAATTGAAAATCATCATTATAATTATCACTAATATCACCATCATGAACATTATTATCGGCATACGTAGTAGATGTAGTAGTATTAGTAGTAGTATTAGTAGTAGTTGTTGTTGTTGTACACATTTCATCATTCATTGTGAAATCGAATGAAGTAATAGATTGTAATTCCGCCTCTGCTCCTCCTGTCGCTATTGTTGTTGTTGCTGACGATGATGATGATGATGATGATGATGATGCTGCGAGAATAATAGATGCAGCATCTGTTTTGTGTCGTCTACGTGTATCCACTGCGGAGTAACGTCGTCCACGTTTCTGCATAGCATCTGATAATACCTGTAGTAGTAACTCTGTGGTCTCCACTGCACACACCTTCACTTCACGTCGCCCAAGCAAAAGCACAACGGCAAAGAATTGTGCAGGGAAAACAGTTAATGCCTCATGTAATTGCGGAAGTAACACTTCTATACAATCTGCACGAAACCAACGAATTTTCGCTAATGCAAGTGTAAGAAATAAAAACGTTGTTGAAGAAGCTTGTCGTGTGAGATGAAGGGAACCATTCCGTATACCACGCAGTAAACCATCTATCACCAAATTATAAAATTTACCACTAAGAATAGGATGATGATATCTTGATATAGCCATGGTTATATTGTTCGTATCTAAAAAATAACGTGATGCCACTCCATCCGCCTTTAATACTCGTACAAACCCCATTTGCCAACGTGCAATAGCATCCAATAGTACACCAAATCCACTCACACCAAATGTTTCCACTGAATGGATAGGTGTGGATGTACACAGTGTATGTTGTTTAAGAAAATACACTTCGATATTATCACGCAGAGTCTCTAATACGGCATCACAGTGAAATAACTTCTGCTGTGCGATAAGATGGAGAAAAGTAGCACTACGAGAAGCGTCTAAGAAGGCGGCACGAGCGGTAAGCCATTCCATCACAAGGCGACCAAACTCTGTTACCCATCCCTTTATACTATTGGGATTATGATCAACACCCATAAACTCTGTTACCAACATATTACTTTCTTGTAATCCCTCCATATTTGTTTTTGCCAATGCACGAAGAACACCTTCCAACAAGTCGTCACTTCGAAAAAACCACGACATTTCAGAATTAGAAGAAGAAGAAAAATAAGAAAAAGATGCAGTAGTGTTATCCTTCTCACCGCATGCCTCATCATCAGAGATAATAATTTCTAATGGTGGTGCTTTACGCAGACGACACCATACCTCCATAAGACACTGAATAATATGACCATGATGAAGTCGTTTACACTCCGTTTCTAACATCCTGAGAAGTTGCGATGCTGTCATGGATGAAAGTGAATTACTATACGCAATTGAAAACGTCACAACTCCAATGTTACTGCTATTACTGACTAATCTTGTCTCTTTATTCCATTTCATGTCACTCGAAGTAAGAGTATTATTATTATTATTATTATTATTATTATTATTCCTTGAAGATACACTCTTAACATGCTCTGTCATTCTGGAACGTTGGGAATCTGCCGCAGAGGCACTGCTTACGGTCTTTCCTGTATTATCGGATTCACTCATTTCAGTAAAGGCCTTCGCCAACTCAGATAGTGACAAATGTCGTCTACAAACATACAGAGACGATGAGGACGAAAGATGAAGAGTAGGAACAGTAAATCGAGATGAACTGAGTACTCGCATGTTCTTTCTATCTTTTTTTTAAATTTTATTTTTTTACGTTATTTCGTAAATCACCCTTTTTGAAGAATGAAATAATACTGAAAGCAGAGTTTAGAAATAACCACAGACCGATTTGTAAAAAAGAAAAAAAAATAAGAAAGAGAGAAAAGAAAATCAATATAAACGCGCACCTCCTACTTTCTTTTTTTTTCTTTTTAGCAAAAAAAAAAAAAAAATTAAATATTTTATCTACAAAACAAAAAACAAAATATTGATTGTGTACATATCCAAGACAATGATAGCAACATACTGCACATAGTTTTATCTTCAAAAAAAAAAAAAAAAAAGAAAGCAAGATACGACCCCTGGTTCGTCAGCAATTTCGTTTCCAATTCAGAATTATTTATTTTATTTTATTCTTTTTCTCTTTTCTCTCTTCTTCTTTATCATCATCATTGTTATCACTGTCACAATACGTCATCTAACTCAGTATCCACGAGAGGGAAACAAACTACCAATCGCACATTATCCACTTTTTCAGTATTCACAGGTGGGGCCATCACCATTCGGGGCGCAGGGATTGTATTGGGAAGCAACTGCTCAAGATTAGGTGCCATTGCGATTGGAGCTGCAGAACTTATAGACATTGTTGTATTCATCGCACCTGCATAAGAGAGTGCTGCAGCCATTGCAGCTGCCTCAGCTCTAGTATTACCAGCTCCTCGAGTTCCCGCAGCACGAGAGGGACCAGAAATATTTGGTGGCTCTGGACTCACAAGAGTCTTCGCACCACCACCAGCAGCACCAGTAATACCAGCACCTCCTCCACCACCGCCCGTTACACGATATGGATAGAGAATATCTCTACCCACCAGCGTTACGGCACTATCACTAATGCCAACAAACATCGTCATCACCTCCGCTGCATACTTTGTGTATGCATACTTAAATGCCATCTGTCCCAATCGGTAGGGTTCGCTACTGTGTGGTGAATCTCCAAGTGTCTTGCGTGATGCCACAATATCGAGTACAATGCGGCATTTTGTGTGATTCATTGGTGGGATCCACTGAGGTGTGAGTTCACGTACAATGGCCTCTTCCTCTTCTTCTCGGCGAAGAACACGTGCGATGGCGGTTGTCGGCCGTACACTAACACTTCCACCAGCACCACCACCGCGACTTCCAGCTAATACGGCAGAAGTATTGGCATTTATATTAACAGTTGTGGCTGCAGATGTGTTAACAGCTATATGAGAGATGGACAAGTCAACGCTTTTACGTTTAGTGTGGCGCAGCAGTGCGGTGAAGGTGGCGGCGTCAGTGTGTGTATGGGTGGGTGTGTGTTGTAGAGGAGAAGCGTTGAAGTGCGGAGTCGGCGAGACTGAGGCTGATGTTAACGTGTTTACATTGCGAAGAATATGCGCCCGCTGCACAGAAGAAGGGAGTTTTTTCCAAAACACCTGTGCTTCATCAAAGGCACGTTGTGCGGCCACTATCATATCATCAATAAGGGAGTATATATTTTCCTCCGCCTCTGCAATAGGATCACCCCAGCGAAACTCATAATTACCATACACGCAAAAGGAATTCTGTGGATCACATGCGAGATGATCACGGTAGTATGGAAATACAACAACATTGTGACGTTTCTTTCCAGTTCCTATTTTTTTACTTTGTGTGTGGGGACGTGAGGAGTTATTTATCGTCCGCGAGAACGAAATGTCAGGGAGAAATGTAGATTCCTCCATCTACAGAACAACAGCGTTTAGCCCCCTCTCTAATGCCGCTGCTAGTTCTATGGTGATGAGCTCAGCAACAAACAAACAAAAAAAGAAATCACAAATGATAACATCTCCACACATAATTAAGTAAAAGATAGAGAGGGAAAATAAATAAATAAAAAATAATGGAAAGAGAACAAAGTAGTAAAACAATCTCAATAGAATAAAAAAAAAAAATAATAATTCACAGAAAAGTAACATAAAACAGAAAGGTAGAGAGTACGAAGATGGAATTTTTTTCTAATGAATGTATTTTTTTTTTTTGCTGTAATTATTATTAGCAAACAAAAACAAACAAAGAAACAAATACAAAGTAAAAAAAAAACCCGAAAAACAAATGTATTCACGCATGTGCATAAGTGAAACAAACACGGCTAATCTCGGCTAAATTTCCTCACTCAATGTAGACTACCCCTTTTTTTTTCTTTTTTTCTTTTCCCTCCTTTCTCCTCCTCTTAATCAACTAATAATTCCTTGCACTCTTGCGAAGGTTGTTCACATCATCTTCACTGAATCCTTCGCGCAGTAGACATTTATAAAAGGCATCCAACTCAGACTGGCACGCATCCACACCTTTCAGAATAGTACATTCATCACGTGCCCTGCGCTCCGCAGGACATGCACAGCAGATTTTGCAGTTGGGCGTTTTCGCTCCTCCTGTTGCGTTTGTATCCATTGCTACCATCTCGCTAAATGTGAGTCAATACGGCTAACTACAAGCATATATGGGTACAAGAAAAGAAAGAAAGACAAAACGAGATAATATTACCTGTAGCTTCTAATATCATTTTATGCAAGTTATTACAGAGTTATACCATAATGAAAAAATGAATGTTTATTATTATTATTATTATTATTATTATTATTATTATTATTATTATTATTATTATTTTACTTTTGAATATGCTTCTTGATATACTCGATGGTACTCGTCGAATTAATGACGTACTACAATTCCATGAGTCAAAACAAAGGTAAAAGAAAAAAAAAGGATTATTAACGACTAAACTCCGTATTTTCCGTCGGATGACTCACCCGGAATGATTTACAAAGTGAGAGTTTGTAAAGTTCCTCTTTCTCTTTTTTTTCTTTTTTAAATTATTTGGATATAATCTTTTTACCAAATATTCATTATTATTATTATTATTATTATTATTATTATTATTATTTTTCGGAGAAGCTATTCTTTTACTGTTTCACGCTGTTGTGTTTGTTTTTTCTTGCGCTTCCCCGACTGCTGTTTGCTTATAAACTGTTCTGTTTCTCTCTCATCATCCCTGTCATCACTATCGCTATCCTGGTTGGTGTGAATATCACCCAACGTCTCAGCCAATGTCTGATGCCGTGGGGCAAAGTTCTTATTACGAAAATGTGTGAAGTTTGATCGGTTATTCGCCTTGACATTCTTCTTTGGCTGTTTTCTCCTTTTCTTACCCATTCCATCCCCGTCATCTTCCTCTTCTTCTTCTTCCTCCTGCTGCAGCTGCTGCCGCTCCCGTGCGGCCTGCGCGAGAAGTTCATCGAGATCACCCCGTCCACTCCCCATCGCCACACCAACACCAACAGCAGTACTCTTAACATTACTATTACTATTACCAGCCGCATGTGCAGTACAGACAACATCCACACACTTCACAGGGGCCTCTACTTTAGAGGCCGCCACGCGGGCACTGAGCCCCTCAACTGTGCGGCCGCACGGACAACACACAAACTCACCAGCGGATCCAATCTTCGCATGACAGCCGCCGCACCGCACCGTGCCGCTTCGCCGCTCCACCACAACTCCGCCACCGTCCACGAGCCAATCACCATCCACATCTTCCGTTAGAGGCACAAACAACACACTTTCACAGGCCTCACCCATATTACTACGACCATTGTTGTTGTCGTTGTGATTCGCACTGTTGCCCCCTGCCTTGCGGTTGTGACGACCGCCAAAGTTCACACGAACCGCGTCTGGCTGATGCGTTAGGAGAGAAGCCTCATTAAAAAGTCTACGACGGCACTTGAAACAGAGGAAGTAACGCGTAGAATCTCCACTCACATGTACGTTATCAAGTGCAGCGGTAATCTGCGGATCAAAGTGAACTCTGGGAAGAGGGGCAGAGGGAACTACCGCTGAGCCTGTTAAATCCTCCGTTTTACCTTTTTCTTCCTTCTCTCCCTCTTCCGCTTTTTCACCTTCTTCTTCTTCCTCTTTTTCTTGTTGTTGATATTTAGAAGTATCTGCATTAAAAAAGGCACGAAGGAAATTATCACGTACGGTAGAATAAAGTTGTTCTATTTTCAAAGGATGATCTGGTGACCCATTAGTAAGTACTTCATATATAGCAGTAGCGACATAACGGTAATTAGCTGGTTCGTTAGGCATTGTACGTATGTGTTCATCAGGAATGTTCTGTGGAGTATTCCACGGAGCTCCTGTACCTATAAGAAGTTGTGAAAGTGCAATGTGATCCCGCAATGCCACAGAAAAAGATGACTTACTTGTTGATATGACATTAAATTCTTTATCAGTAGGTTGATTTTTATTTTCTCCATCTGTGAGACCTTCAGCTGTGGCAATAACGTAAATAGGAACTATGGGATCTACATTTTCTACATTCTCTGTAGTTGCTTCCGTAGAATTTTGTGATGGAACACAACGCTTAAGAAGTGTTCTCATCGCAGATGAACAGGCAACTGCACCAACACCATTGTATAGAACAATGGCAGTGGGTTTCTTTTTTGTATTTATTTGACTATCACCATCACCATCCTTCTTATTATCTTCATCATCTTTGCGAGACATTAAATCCGAAAGTAAATCTGCAGCACGATCTACTGTTGGATTGGAATCTGTTACATTATCAGCAATAGTACCACTAATATCAATACTATTACTACTACCAATATTATTATTATTATTATTATTATTATTATTATTATTATTATTATTATTATTACCGCTAGTAGAGGTCTCATGACAGAGGTGTAGAACGAGTGGGAGTTGCAATGCACCAGCTGTGTACCAGAGTTGCTCCAGCAGCCACTCTTGTGCAAAGTGTGTACCACTATCACGCTCGAGATTAATTCCGGAAAGTATTCCCAAGACAACTGGCTGCTTTCCCCATGCTGCAACACTCTCCACCCAATTCTGTTGCACCTTCTTATGCATACGATCCACGTTATTCACATGTACTCCCACAACACAGTACATATTACCATTACCAGCATTAGATCCTCCTCCTGTTGTTGATGTCGTGGTGGTGGCATTGTGTTGACGACAAAGATCCAAAAGCGCCTCCTGTCGCTCAAAATCTGCACACCACGTTAAAATAGCGGCTACTCCACTTTCCTGCGATGCCCTTGCCATAAGCACACCACGGTCCGCTTCTAGTTTACGAGCCAATATCGCTACTGCGGCGTCAATATGCGGCGTCTCATTTGTAAAAGGCGGCATCGTCGGTGGGATACGTGTGGCATGTTGTGGCTGCTTTGCCGCTGAGGCCTTTCGTGCGGCTGATGCGCCGGGATTTTTCTTTGATCGACGAAGAGTGCCACCCTTCGACTCGCGTCCTCCTCCACGATCTACGAAACCCATTAATATATAAAATAAAGAAATATATTTATCTTACACTACCCTGGAAGTGGGTCCTCAACTCAAAAAAAACAACAACAACAACTACAAAAACAAGAAAATAATAATGAATGTGATACAAAGTCATACAAAGGTTGTACAGAAGAAGAAAAAAAAAGATTAAACAAGATCCATATATATATATATATATATTTATGAACCACTCTCGTTCCACTGCATACAGTAGAAAAAAAAGAAGAAAAAAATAGAGGTATTTATTTGTATGTTGAATTTAATTGGTAAGTGTCGCTCCTTCTGCACCTACACACACAGATATATATATATATATATATATATATATATATATATTCTCTCTTTCTCTATTTCTGTGAATCGTATTCGTATTAGAGACCAGTAAAAAAAAAAAAGGTCACACGAAAACAAAAGAAAATACACGCACTCTCAAATTTTTGTATTCCTTCCCCTTTAATCAATATGACTCGCCTAGATGTCTCAAGTTCAACACTACTACGGTGCTCCATTCGCAGACCGACCATCCTCAAGTACTTCCTTTGCCATGCCAAGTTCATCTAGTACATATTGATTAAAACCGTTACCAGCAATATTAGTGAGAAAACCCTCAAACACTCCTCGATCCACCTCACCACATACAAAACATATCGCCTCAACTTTATTCTGGCGTCTAAAGTCAAAGATGTGATTAGCATCCGCTTCCATTTGCATAGAAATAGGAATAAAACGTTCCACACGGAAGAATTCCACCGGTGGACAACGTAACGCTGTAGATGTCACTCCTGTCTCTTGTTCCGTTCCTGTAGTATCATTAACATCACCTCGGTCAACGCAACTGCAACTACTACTACTACTCTTGTTGTTATCATCTATGTTACCTTTTTTTGTGATATCATTGCCAGATACAAGAGATTCCCATTCACTACTCAGTTGAACTGCAAAAACACGCACAATAACAGGCACACCAACTTTCTGCGCTGCTGGTAAAATTGTGTTGCGGAATACACGGGGTGTAACACTAGACGCATCCACAAGGAGTGCCAATCTACGTCTCGGGTCACTAAGATCTGTTAACAGAGGCGGGAAACGATCCTTAACAGGACCATTTTTACCGCTGATGTTATTTCCTCGTTTGGGTCGACGCGATGTATGCCTTTCTCCAACAGTATTGCTGCTACCATTCCCCATATTATCAGCCCCACCACGTGATAATGATGAAGCCTGTAAGAGAGGTCCCATTGTGGCAATACAGGCAACAGGAGAAAACGGCATGTTCCTCCCTACCAAGAATTTAACTTTCACAAGACGTCTCATCATTTGCTTTATGTATCTAGCAAAGAATAAAACTATGAGCAATAAGAATAATAAGAAATGAACGTTGAATAACAATTATAAAAATTAGCCCATTTATATATATGGAGAAGAGATCACAGAAAAAAAAAAGACAATAAAGGTAAAAATAAAAAAAAGGTAACGAAATAACGCTACAGTGCGTTTAGGCCCATAAGCGCAGCACCCTCTTTCTCTCTTTTTATCTAGGTTTATGCTCCAATAGTGAAAAGAGGAACAAAACCTCCAAATAGAAAAAATTTTTATATTTAAACCTAATGCACAAAAAGAAATTCAAAAGCATACATATATATATACAAATGCATTTGAGTTCACTGCTCCTCTCCAAAAGTAAGCTAACAATAGAACAAACACAAACAATAATAACAATAACAACAACAATCAATTTCACCGTCGAAGAGAAGTATCAACAACCCGAATAACAGCTCCATCACATATCCCATAGAAGGCAAGACTTTGTATCTCGTTATCTAGCTCTGTACCCCGTTCAACTACTCCACTATCACCTGTGAAAAATGACAGTTGCTGGTCGGATGGGGCGATGCTAAAAATAACACGTACGAGCGCCTTGAGTTTTCCTACAGTTATAGAGTTTGGTACTGTTTTCTTTACATCCTCAAAACCATCACAACGGATAGTTAGATGCAACATAACGTGCGTAATGCCATCCTGACTTGCCGTTTCACCATCGCGGTGAATGGCGAGAATAGTATCCTTGTGCTTTTCTCGAAGGACATTCAGTAATGGATAGCTAAGTTTTGCACCTGCCGTTTGTTGTTGTTGTTGTTGTTGTTGTTGTTGCTGTTCTTGTTCTTTCAAAGTTGCCAAACCACGTTGTATGTAAAATATCTCTGAATCAAGACGTTCCTTTGGTCGCACTTGTCCTCTATTAAGGGTCGTAATAGTAGGTAATGATGCCACAACATACATCCGTCCCAATGTCTCATTCCATTGTGGGAATATAGAACTGTATGTAATACGGAAAGTATGAAGATGTGGACACAGTTCTCGCAACGCGTCCAGTGTACATGGGTCAGTGATAGTTGAATTATCTTTAACACATAAAAGCTCTAATGGTTGAAGGTAGGCGTAATCATTTGCGTCTCTCTTGAGATCTTCAGATGGGTGTAAGTTTGGCATATGATTCCCCGTGAGAAATAGTCTCGTCAGGAGCGGAAATGCCGTTGTTAACACCTCATTTAAACCACTTTCAGGTCCCCAAGATGATAACTCATTTTGGGCTAAGCTTAACGTAGTTACGTGTGGAAACCAAGAAAAGCCTTCTACATGAACGTTATTTTGTTCGTTTTTTTCTTTATTATTATTATTATTATTGTTATTATTATTATTCTCATCTTTTGTGGATGTGTAATTAGGGGGTATAACCTCACCATCTGCGAAGAGGGTGAGACGTTGGATGCCGTTTCGATCAAGATGGAGTTCTTCCAAGGCTGGAAGATCAACCAAGGCACGTAATTGCCAAATGGAACGAAGTCCAACGTTATGGAGAACGAGTTTGGTCAAGTGTGCCGAGGCAAGAACCTGCGGCAACACTCTCCCTCCCGGTGCCTCCACGGAGGCGTTTTCTTCTTGGCGCAGCAGCTCTGGGGTGTCTGAGAGCTGCAGTACATTGAGAGCGGGGAGGTGTTGAACGATGGCTGCAACCTCTGGGAGGCGGAGGTCGGGGTTCTCCGAGAGATCCACTTCCCGCAGGCGGTGAAGGGCGGCGGCGGCCATTTCGCCGGGGCTGTGCTCGCCGACGGAGACGCCCATCGCCCGCAGGACGACGTGCTCGAGGCGCGCGTGGTCGCCCTGCCGGCGGCGGGCCGCGTCCATCCCGACGAGTTCCCACGACTTCGCCCGCCGGCCGCCGCCGATGAGAAATGCGTCCGGGGCGTACGAGTCGCGATCGTCTGGGGCGCCATAGCGGCTGCGCAGCGCGTCAAGAAAACTCGTGGCCCCAGCAGTCGCCATTAAGAGAGATAGATAGAAAGTGAGAGATAAATAGATAAATAGAGAGAGAGTGTGTGTAGGTATAAATGGGTTTCTTTGTTTTCTCTTTTTTTTTTTTTGGTATTGGTAGGTGATAAATAAAGAAGAAGAAGTGTGGGGTAGATGAGGAGGACGAAGGTTGTCAGAAGGGAACGGCAATCTAGAGTTATAATCAATAAAAACAGTTATATATACAATATAGAGTCAGCGTCCTCAGCAAAGTCGCTCACTACTACTCGTCGTAACACATACAATCGAAAAATAAAAGAGTATTGAAAACAAGAAGAAAAGGAAAAAAGAAACATAACACAGGAGGGGAAAAGGGGAATAAAAAAGAAACCGTGTTGCGTGTAGGTGAAAAACAAAAAAAGAAAGAAAGAAGTGATGGTAATCCCAATAAGTGAAAGTATTATCACTTATACTTTGGAGAGCAAAATAAAAATAACAATAGCCGCATACCTACAGACATATATGAAGAGAGAGAGAGAGAGAGAGATACCCTCACCACCCCCGCCAAAAATGTATAAATACGGCTATACCGCGGTTTTCTGGAGACGCCCAACCAGACATCTACACATATACACATCTACACACACAAATACAACACATAAATGTATATGTATGTATGTATACATACATACATACCATCTACAAAATTATACATGCAAATAAAGAAACTATCACTGCAAGAAGGGCATTGTCAGCTCCAAGAAAGCTGCAAGAACAAAAAAAAAAAAGCTATTTGGCGAAAAATACCAAAGTAATGAAGAACATTAATGTTCATCGATTACCAAGGTAGTAAAATCCTTTATTTAGAGTACCGGGAATAGTATCGCTAACAATAGATGAAACAACAATAATAATAATAATAATAATAATAATAATAATAATAATAATAATAATAATAATAATAATAATAATAATAATAATAGAAACAATAGCACAGTTGAAAAAGGAACAGCAATATAAAGAACCAATAAACCACCACCCACGAGAAAAAAAACACGGTATAATTCAGTAATCTTGGATTTTCAACGTTCTCGCTTCAGTCCTGGCGTTCGTTCATTTTTTTTTTTTTTTTTGGGAGGGAGGGGGAGAGAGGAGTCCCCAAATAATTCATTTCCGATGATGATGAACTTGTGCTAGCTTCGTGGAGCTCGCAGCTATTCCTACCCCAGCACAAAAATAAAAAAAAAAGACTATGGTCCTTCTCTTCTGCATCAAGGTGATAAAAACAAGGAAAATGAAAAAAAAAAGAACTAACACGCCATTTTCATTGCATTCATCGATACGGGAAACAAGAAAGGAAAAAAAAAAGAAATTAGAAATAGTGACAGAGCAGAAAAGGGAAAAAAAAACAGTACATTGAGTCCTTTAAATGTTAGTATATAAGAAAAAAAAAAGGACGTAGTACATACAACAGAAAACAACGAGAGCAGAAATAAAAAAAAAGTTGTACATATATATACATATATATATATATATATATATATATATATATATATATACCGAGAGATATGGCACACTACATATGTGATATTTGCAGTTGTAGGTATAACAAAAAAAGAGATCGCAGGAGTAAAGAAACAATATATATAAATATAAATATATATATATAAATATCTGACCATCAACCCTGTCTATTTATGAAATTATTTTTTTTTTCTTTAGGTTTTCAGGTCAAATCAGAAAAAGCACCAGTGTCACTACTGCTATTCCCTATACCCCCAAGCAACAATGCATGACCGTTGCGCGCATCAAACGTAAATCCCAAATAATGTTGTGCACCACCAGTACCAAGTAGTGATGAATTATCAAAAAATTGTGAGGATGCACGCTCATCCAAGTCCCCTGTTCGAGGAGAGACCCCAAAAGTTATCACAGAATCCTGTGAGGCGTTCACTTCCCGAGTACCAGCACTGTCACTAGTTCCTTCACCCGGTGAATTTGGTGATGCACAAAATGTAAAGCGTGGAGAAAATAACGAGAGATTGGATATTCGTCGTGTATCCATAGTAGTAAAGCAGTTAGCGGCAGCACTGCCACCACCACCACCACCACGCTGTACGCTTGCAGGACCTCTTAAATCTGGTGTCGTTGAGAATCGTAAAGAAGTACATGTCCTTCCTTGATCAAGTTTCTCATCGCGATGATTATCTGATATTTCTTTCTTATTCTCTGTGGTATCACAAAAGTCTGATGCCACGATTTTCTTTGCTATTGGTGCTTCAGAAACTTCTTCCTTTCCCACTAACAGGTCATCACCTCTAGTCTTTTTACTCATTTTTCTTGATGGTATACCTGTACTGCTTTGTAGTACACCAGCACTTCTCTTAGAATAATTAGGAAGGTAATCATCCACATCATATGCAATGCCACATAATGTGTCCGGTAATTTTTCCCCAGAATCTGGGGCCATATATAGAATTCCTTCATCATCATCTGTTGTACTTTGAGAAAATAAAGAAGATGAAGATAATCTTCCCCTTTCTTCAAAGCAATAAAGATTACTTTTTTTAAGAACACCAGTATCTGATGTTGATAATAAGAAAGTTTCTGAAGTCACATGTTCCATAGGAATATTTGTCTTTATTGACATTTTATCAATACACTGATCTGCATTTTCTTTTTGAATAGAGCCAGCCAAAGATGTAATGGGTACATTTTTAGTTTCTATTGTTTCACCTTTATTTATGGTTATTCCTGAAGTGGATGGTCGTGCAATTTCAACCTCCCTTTCTCGTAAAGGTAATAATGATGTTGATGTTGATACCATACGATTAGAATCTTTACCCTCTACTTTTCCTGTATCGTTTTTATACTTTGTTTCATCATATTGCATTGTACTACTCATAGGATATGCTAGAGATCCGGATGTTGATGATACAAATGGCATTGAAGAAACGAAAGAATTAGTTGGAATTGTAGGATCAGCAGAATCTTGTTTTCGCATTTCTAACTCATTAAAGGGGATATTATCAGTTTCACCCTTTTGATGTTGAGTTAGAGATGTATTTTCCTTTTCTAAAAAGGATGGTAGATGTGATGGTTTTCTTGGTACAGAAGGTTGTAATGGTTCTTCATATTCTTCGTCACTCGTTGTGAGTGATGATAACGAAGCCTGTAATATATCTGTATCCTCATAAACAGAGTTATCCATATTTCTACTCGTATTAGCAGAACGAGTAGACACTGGAAGAGCACATGAAGAATTATTTCCATATTCAAAACTATGTGAAAGACTTTCATGCCTTCGACGTGTTTGTTCACGTAATGTTCGTTGTTGTACCACTATACTATCCCCAGTTGCAGTCACTGCGGCAGGAAAGTAACATAAATCATCTGTCGCTAATAATCGAGGAGTAAAAAGTGGTTTAATTCTTTTTTTCAAAAAAAGATCACGCCAATTTTCTGGTCGTTCATATGGAGACAAACTTAGAAAAAATTCAGCACTAAGATGTTTTTGTAACACCTGAGAAACCCAAGAACAATCATTACCCTTATCATCCATATCATCATCTTTTTCATCATTGCCTGGAATTCCAACAGACATTGTTAGAGGTGAGATGGATTTCATCTGTTTTAATGCATAAGAACATCCTTCACTTGTCATTTTATTCTGTGGTGTTCCAAAATTCATAGTATTTTTTCCACCTGTATTAGCTGTCAAATTACTCGATTTTTCTTCCATAGAAAAACGAGGAGCTTTGTAGTACAACTGTGATGTAACATATGAACAGGTAAAGAATGGGTGTTCCAATACGGAAACTCCACCCAGACGACGTTCCGGACGACGTTCAAGTAATAATAATATCAAATCACGTAGTAACATAGATGCTTCTTCCAACTCTCGTACAGCATAACGAAGATATTGTGAATTTTCCTCCAGAGTCATAGAAGAAGAAGGAATAACTGTTTCAGCACCAGCACTTGCAAAGGATTCATTTCCACCTAATAGGGATTCATTACGTAAGGAAGAAAAATTATTAAGATCTGGAGTAGTTCCTTGGAAGAGATTTGGAGGTTCCCCTGTAGACATTGCCGTACCTGTTAACGAACCACAGAATTGTAAACCATTTTCATCCCCTATAGTGTTATTATATGCACGTTGAGTCATATCCTGCAGTACTGCCCGTTGATAAGATCGATGACGTCTGTGTAATTGCATTACTCGTGTATCCACTTCAAGTCCTGTGAGGAGAAAATCTTCAGGAAGTATACAAACATCACGTTCCACAATGGATTGCACAACTGCATATTGATTTTCACCTGCGAAAGGTCGACGACCAGTTGTCATTTCAAATAATAAACAACCGAAACTCCACCAGTCAATTCGACTATCGTGTGGTTGACCCAATAACATTTCTGGACTCATATATTGTGTTGTACCCGTAAAACTATTTTTACGATCATTTCCCTGTTTTGATGGTTTATTTCCCACACCACGGTACTTTGCTACTCCAAAATCAGTTAATACCAAGTGTCCACTGCGCATCAATAAAATATTTTCAGGTTTAAGATCTCTGTAGATAAAACCTTGTTCATGTAAGTATTGTAGAACTAAAGCAACTTCAACTGCATAGAATGCAATTAGACGAATTGGTGTACGACTGTCATCACGAACTCGTGGAATAAATGAAATCTCATGTAGTTGAGTAAGTGATGCTGAACGAGTTAGTCTACCAGTTTTTGGTTTTTCACCACGTAAACTACTAGCTTTTAAGCTTGTTAACTCTGCAAATGAGCTTCTTCTACGTAATTTATGTAATCTGTGTTTCATTTCCCGTACCCATGGTTTTTTCTCTAAAAAGAAATAAAAATCACCACCTTGAGCAAAGTCCAATACAAGGTACAAGTGTGTACGACTCTGAAATGCCTGATGAAGGCTTACAAGGAAAGGATGTCTAAGAGATGCTAGTAACTGTCTTTCTGTAAAGGTACGTTGAACACAACCTTCTTCTCGAACTTTTTTCTTTGAAATCTTTTTTAACGCAAAAAGTTTATGAGTATCTTTATGACGGGCTAAAGTAACTTCTGCAAAAGTTCCTCTTCCCAAATATGCCATGAGTTCATAATTCATTAAAGTACGTGCAGCAGAAGAACAAAGTCCCTTTGGTGGCTTCGTTGGAACCCATTGATTTTGACTCGTCTCACGTTTTTTACTTTCTTCATTTAAAGGTTCTTGTTCTTCTTGTTGTTGAAGAGTTACCTTTCCAGAGGGAGTCTGAGGGTCAGGAGTGTTATTACTTTCCACGAGATGACTACCATTATTACTAAGAGCTGGTGTAGCTCGCTGATTCATATCTTTAAGAAGTTCATTATGTTTGCCTGCGATAACATCATCAAGGAATGAAAAGAATTCAGTTTGATCTGGAGGTGTAGCGCCAATAACTGGAGAGGATGCTGATAGTAACTGCGTGGGATCTATATACTGTGTAAAGGACTGAACAGTAGTATCACCAGTGATACTCCCATGTGCACTGACACCATGGGGAGACTGTTCTATATTATCTTTACAAGATTTCGACAATGAAAACTTCAGAGATGACGATGATACAGTATCTGTATTTCTGCTAGATGATGAAGGAGGACTGGTATTTTTGTTAATTGGATTTGGTAAATCAGATTCTTTCTCTTTAGGAGAACGCCACCACGTAAGGGCATTAATAATACGTTCGCCAATACTCGGCTTGCTCTTTTTTCCCATTTTTGTGCAAAAATATATATTTTTTTTCACACCAGTTATAAATAGAAAATGCGGCAGTCGAGGTGAAAATTAAATAGGAAGCCACCAGATAATAATAATAATAATAATAATAATAATAATAATAATAATAATAATAATAATAATACTCCCAATACAGGTCAGCAATCAATTAGAGAGAAAAAAAGACTTTGCGATTTTTTTTTTTTTTTATGCCTTTTGCAAGTAAGTTTTCTCTACTACGAAAGCTATATTAACACCTCTCCTGAAGGTGTTACCAATTCGGGAGAGGAATCAGAAACAGATATATACACAGACACACACGCCAGCAAAGAGTCGAAAAAGAGGAAAAAAAAAAACAACTACCACAATGAGGAAAAAGAATGTGTGATCTGCTGCTTTCTCTCTTCCTGTTTTTTTCTTTCTTTCTCTTCTTCTTTCTTTACCTTTGAGGTATGCAATTTGATTTTGTTCTTTTTATTAGTGGTATTACAGGTTTTATGTAATACCAATTACAGCCGGTTCCTTGTTGTAACCGAATATGACTAATGAGTATATATATATATATATATATATATATATATATATATACTCTACCTAGACTAAAAATACTACCGCCTAGAGGTCACAAAGACCAGCTAGTACCAGCTAGTAGGAAAACAAAGAAGAACAAGAACAAAAAAAAAAAAGAAAAGGAAAAGAAAACTCACGGGAACTAGTAGAAGGAAACAGAGAGAGAGATTAAAAAAAAAAAAAAGATCAAAATATTTTTTTTTTTTTTCAAAATCTACTGTAATAAGGAAAAAGAATTTTCATTTAGATAAGTAAGCAGAAATTTCTTTGTTTTTCTTTTTTTTTTTTTTTTCTGGGCTTTGAATTACTGTAAACTGTACTTAAGCGAAAACCCGAACAATTTCCTCTTCCAGAAAATTCAGCAGCTCTTCATTCTGCCCGACAAGCTCTTCAAGATTATCCACGACACGGTGTACATCGAGACTGTCTCTGGGTCGTGCCATGACGAGTCGAAGAAGATCTTGTGTAGTCCATTTAATTTCTTCCTTCTGCAGAGCAGCAGTTGATCCACTCATAACAACTCCACCATCTCTGTTGGTTGTTGATGATGATGCCCCAACGACTGTTGTGACTGCTGCTGCTGCTGCTGATGATGATGATGATGGTAATAATGATAATGATGAGGATGACGGCTGTTCTGTGAGGAACATGGAGAGAGGAACAGAGGGTGGGGCAAAGACAAGACGGGGTCGATCCGATGAGGGAAGTTCTTGCTGTTCTTTTTCATTCATAAGAATATCGGAAGCTTCTTCATTACTATTAGAAGATGCTCGAAGACGATCTCTCAGTGTACGCAACACCATCTTTACTCTATTAGAGCTATTAAGCTCATGTTTTCTTCCACGCATCTCCCAAAGTGAGAGAACTGTGTCCACCGCACGTACATGACTTACAGTACCAGGACGACATTTTTGAACAATCTGCATTAAAGCTTCTTCTTGCTTAACAAGATCATCAGCAACAATCCCTTCTTCTTCTCCTTCTAAATCTGGTAAAGTACTGCTAACATTATTATCATGTTTATTAATACGGTTAGTATTATCATGGTTATTATTATTATTATTATTATTATTATTATTATTATTATTATTATTATTATTATTATTATTATTCGACCCATTTTCTTCTTCCTCTTCTTTTTCTTTTTCATTATCAAGTTTGGTATTCTGGTGACGGGATCTACAATGAATACTGGAAGGACCATATAGCTGGTGTACTCTGTTAGTTCCACTAATAGTAGTATATTTACTTAAATAACGAAGGGCACGTAACTCTGTTAAGAGTACAATTAAATGAGAGGCCGTAGGTGAGGCAAACAAGGCATTATTTCTTGCGTTAATCATAGACATAGTGGATGTCATACTATTTACCCCACCTTGCTGTTGATCTTGCAAAAAAAGTGTCTCAGGTGGAAAAAAGAGAGTTGTATTCGCCAATACATTTGTCATCACTGGAGCTGAACCACGTTGTGGTTGTATCTGTGATGTACTTGTAGTGCTGGTGCTGCTTGAGAACTGCATTCCAAACGGTGGTTGCAACTTTGCATTCCGCTCATCCCGGCGACGGCGAAGTAATGCAAACACCTCCCCATTCGTCATGGGAGTTCCTTCAGAGATGATCATTTCTTATTTATTGATTTATTTATTTATTTTTTTAGATGGGATCACCCCTTCCCACACACTTCCAAAAACAGTAAATATATATATATATATTTCTTATAATCCTATCTTTTTTTTTTCCTCCTCCACCCACTACCACCTTCACTTAACTGGAGCTAAGAATAAAGTAAGGCTTTTCAAGGTGTGCGACAACAACAATACTTTCTCCCGCGCCTTTCTTTTTTTTTTTTTCTCGTGTCTACATTCGTGTGTGTGTGTGTGTACGTATATGTATAAGAAAGCCATATACCATAGCAACAAGAACAACAAGAAAAAAAAAAAAAGAAACGAAGTGAAAAAAAAATTAAGTTTGGCAAAGAAGACAACAGATTCCATACACTTTAATACATCACATCAAAACAGACAAAAAAAAAAAGAATAAATAAATAAATGGTACGCACGACAAGCGAGTACACAGAAAGCTGTACCGTGAATCTGCATTGTGAAAAAAAAGGTAAGTGATAAGTGACTCCCCCCACCTCCCCCCTTATCAAGAAGATCCTTAATAATAATAATAATAATAATAATAATAACGGAAAAAAAAAAGAATGGGTGAAAGAAGCAGAACAACGACAGCAGAAGAAGCCAATTTTAAAAATAAAGAAACATTTTTGCAACACACAGAACCAAAAAAAACTATCCCTTTTTTTGTTTTTTTTTTTCCTTCTCTTACCCTTTCTTTTCTCTGTTACTACTACTGAGGACGGGTAATCCAAAAAACGAAAACAGGCACGTGTGTGTATTGGGGTCTCAAAATCATGTAACTCAAAAGAACCTGAAATACACAGGGAAACATATATATATATACAAGACAGAAACCAAGAAACAGAGAACATGGAAAATAAGAACCAAAAAACAAAAAAAAAACAAGGAATCAGACGAAAAACACGGATCCCCACAACGCAGTAAAAAAGAAAGGAAACAACAAGAACAAGAACAACAACAACAAAAAAAAAAAAAACACATGAAAAAATAAAAAAAAAACGTAATAATAATACTAATAACGCCTCTGACTATCTGAGGTTAGTCATTCGTTTTTTTTTTTTTCTTGTGGCTGTGTGTGTGTGGGTGTGTGTGGAAACGGAATGACCGCAAAATAATAAACAAACAACATACATATATACATATACACATATACGTATATATATGTATATATAAGCAGACCGATTTCCCTAAAAAAAAGAAAAAAAAAATGTCCAATTCACGCAGAAGAAGAAGAAGAAGAAAAATAAAAAATCCCATACATCTTGTCATCATAAGAATACAAAAACACAAATTACATTTCCGCAACCAATTCATCCTCTGGTGATTCAACAAGTTGATGAACTGTAATATCCCCTTTTACACCAATCTCCACAACTGCATGACGCGGTAAACGCAAGGTAGGCGATAGCTCTGGCAGGACATCTGTAAAGAAGGCCAAAACTCCCTGCGCGGGAACAGCGGAGGCCACCACAAACACAGGCCCCTGCACACGCATAACGGCCATAAGTGCCGGTTCCAGACGCACATTCACCTGACGACAACTCTCACCATTAGGGAATTGAACACAATACGACAAACGAGGATCTGTACCATCAGGAATGTGACGAAATCGTCCGATAGCTTGTTCACCTTTATTAAAATATTGCCTATGGAAAGCTTTTTCCCCGTGTTTTTGCTTTTCTTCTTCTTCTTCTTCTTCTTCTTCTTCTTCGTGAGTTTCATCATCTATATGATTTATTTGAGAGGATGAAGAGGTTCCAAAATTTCCCATTGAATCCACACTCGTCCCTGGTGAAATAGTGTAGAGAATACGTGATAATTGTGCATATTTGGCTCGCACCCACTCTGCTGTTCTTCCAGAAAATTGACCATAATTAATACTATCAAGACCCGGTAGTGGACAGAGTAATTCCTCTTGACGTATAATAGAACCAGGGATAGCATGTTCCTCCTCATCCATTTTATTATTTTCATCATCATTATCACCCCCTAAAACACGCGATAAAGGTCTAAGTGTATTTAACACACTAGGGTTCGTTCCATGAAGTACAATCATATGAAGTACGTAACGTTCAAGAATAAAATTTTTTAAAGCTTCTGCATATTTTTCTCCAAGCGAAGTAAGACGTTCATCTCCACCATACATATGATTGTGATCCCCAACAGTTTCACCTGGTAGTGTAATATAAATAGGATATGCAACAGGATGAAGATTCAATAAAAAGAAAGCAATTCGACTTGCTAACCCACAGGGTATTTTTTGCAATATTACATGATGTTTTACGTTGATAATGCGAATAAAACTTAAATCTTCAGAAGGATCAAGTGGTTCATAAACTTTTTCATACTCCGCTATACGTGCCCGAAATGAATTTATTACTTCACTAGTATCTGTTACATTTTTAAAGTCATCATTTCCACATTTAGCACGTAATATATTTTCTGTAATAATTTGTTCATCTGTACAAATAGATTCTATAAAAATAGTGCGATAAACCACTTTACGCTGTTTTGCAGCTTTACTAAAAAGATCAATAAGATGTCTTCTTCGTTCTCGTGTGGTATTTGTTGCGTCAAACAATCCTACAGCTACATGTTGATTTGCAATAAAATCCATAAGGTCTTCACATGCCATATCTGCCATCTTATCACGTAATTGTTTACCCCTAGCATTATTTGGGTCATAGAAACAGGAATCCGTAGTACCATCCACACCAAGTAACTGGCGACGATAACTACCAGCGTTAAATACTCGACATGGTACTCCTTTCCAGTTAAGATAACGTGAAATACGATTACAAATAAATGATTTTCCTCGACCTGGAAGACCAACCATACATACTACTAAAGATACTGTATCAGAGACTGTTGTGTAGCTTGAGAATTTTGCCGACAGAGAGTATACATCCTCACTGCTGTGAATCATATCATCATCATCATCATCATCATCTAACTGAGAACTAGCAGGATCAGTAGAAGAATTATCATCTCCTAACGGATGAACAGCAGTTACAGCTGCTACAGCCTGTGATCGCAGTTCTGCATTTACATCTGGGGGAAGGGCTGCCAATACATATTTGGAAGTGAGTTCATTTGATTGTTCAGTTGAATATTCCATAGCAGCTGTTGTCGATAGAGGTAAACCTAGATGAGAAGGAGACCATCGACGTTGTGTGGACGAATATGCAGTAGGAAGGGATTCACCATTAGGAGATAATGTGCAAATACGAGTAGCATTTCTATCACTCCGTGATAATAAATCACTAACGGATGCTCTTTGTTGTTGTCTTTCAAATACCGAAAGATTTCTTTTTGTTAAGGCTAATAAATATCGACAAACACTACTATGTCTATTAGCTGCTGCCCAGTCAAGTGGTGTACGTCCCATATTATCCATTGCCATAATATCTGCCCCAAAAGATACTAAAACACGTACAATAGCTTCATTACCTTCAAATGCTGCAACATGTAAGGGTGTACCTCCATTATAGTCTCGTTCATTAACATTACACAACTTTTTCTCAAGAAGATATTGCAGTTGTGAAGCATTACTTGCTCGCACAAGAGAAAATATATTGTTGAATGATAATTCCCTACGCAATTGTGCCAATTGACGTTTTAAAGATTCTTTTTGTCGCTCTAATTCAGCAATGATAGCATTACGATTTTGTTCTCGTACGGCGCAAGCTGCACCTGGATCATGAATAGATGATAATGGTTGCAACAGGGAACGAAAACGCATTCGTGTATTCCCCGTACCGCAACTACCTGTACTGCTAAAAGAACGCGGTGGTGCCATTACAGAACATGCCATTCTTCCTGTTCCCTCAAAAGAAGAAGGCAATGATCCAGAGTATAAACCAGCATACCCATTCGCATCCCATGGATTTCGAACACCACCACTACCAGTCATATTAGAAGGAGCAGATTTTGCCCCTTCCGTCGCTGCGGAAGAAGTTTGAGCCAAAGGCCATGTATCTAATGAGGAGCAGTGTGATGATAATCTACCGCAGGTACAACACATCTCTGGATCTGAGTGTCTTTGCGGTGGTGGGGTCATGGCATAATGCCATTGATTTCCGGGGTGGAAATTATTTCCAGTTCCTTCACTAAATGATCTTCCACTTGTGAGAGCTACATTATTTTCGCCAAAGTGAAAGTTTGTCGAATCACTTCGTTGATATGGAGGTGGTGTAATAGGTGCTGCCGTTTCTTCGGCAAATAAGGCTGTAGAAGATGTTGCTGTATCATTTCTTGCAGTCTCTGTGGATTTTACCGCATTAGAATGATAACCACTTGCAGTAGAATCACCACCTTCTTCATCTGCTGTTTTTTCAACAGATCCAGTGGAAATACGAGTTCTAGATTCGGTATTCATATTTTTCTTTTTTTTTTGTCTCTTGCTATTGTGTAAGCTGTTTTCTCTCCCTTTTTTTTTGATTGTGTTTACTCCTGTTTATTCTCCTCTTATTGACCACACACTAGAAACGTAGAAATGAACTCCGCACCACGTAACGTCAACCAAGGTAATAATGGACTCTGTATGCGGAGATGTACAAAAAATGCCGTCAACAACTTCACTGTAACTTTTACTTTATATATATATGAATTTGCTTTTGTTCTTATTATCTTTTTCGCTCTTTATTTTCTTCTTTTTTTAATTTTTTGTCTGCCTTCGTAATTACTATTTTGTTTTCTCTTCTCTTTTATATGTTTCCCTTGTTCAACTATTTTTTAAAAAAAGAAAAGAAATATAATCTTTTCCTTCTTTCTTCTAAAGTTATTGATACTTGGGAGCTATTTCAGTTGTTCTTTTTCCACTTTCTTATGTTTTCAGGAAGTACCCTTTTTTTTTTTTAATTTGAGCTAAACTTCCACACTCTTCTAGACTACACTGTTTACGTAAAGGCTGACACCTTTTGACTATTTCTACCGTTCATCTCATTCAAACACAAGTAGAACATTGTAAAATTGAGTGGAAAGTAGAAAAAAAAAAAAAAAAGATGAAAAAAAGAAATAAAAATAATAACAAAGACAGTAAAAAATGTGTGGACAAGCAACAATAAGAAACACCTTCTCCTTTCCCCCTTTCATATATATACATTCTCTTCACTCTCACTCACTCACTCACTCATTCTTTCTTTCAATCTATCCATCTCTCTGACTGGAAAAGTTCTATCAAGAAAACGAGAAACAACAATGCGGTACGGATACAGATAACAGCGAGTAACAATATTGCCGCAGCACTGTTACCATCTTGACGCAGTGTCAACACTTCACTCGGTTTACGCCCCTCCGTTAAGGCAATCTCCACAACGGTGAACACCAACCCAAGTAAATGCAGCCACAGTAGAGGCACCAGTAACACACGCCATGGATTAATCCACGATCGCCCCAACAGTTTACGCGCTATTGTGTTATCCACAGGAGTGAACACACGTGTTCTGCGCCGTCCTGTTCCTCTCACGGCCCCATCACCACTACTACCAACACCAACACCAAAAGATGCGGAAGGAGGCATAGAAACAGCCGCAGTAGAATATGGCAATGTCATCATGGATTCGCCTCTTGTTCCACCTACAACAGAAAGAGGTAAACTTTCCGTTAGAACGGAATTTACTCCACCATCATATGTTGAGAATAGTGCCCCCTCAACACCCGCATGTTGATCCGCAAATCGTACACCGGGTTTTCGGCGTATTGCAGATTCTACACGTCGGCGTTGTTGTTGTTGTTGTTGTGTCATCTGGATTTGGGTATCGTTATCGAGAGAGTGACTCCGTTGTCTTCTTCGAACATGCCGCCATTGGCTATCCGCCAGACCTGAAGCCAAAGGTGCAAGCGAGATAATTAAAAGCAATAAAAAAATAAAAAGAAATAAGGAACCGTTAAACTTGTAAACAATAGCAAAATATAATAATACTGGATCATCTAATGGAGGATCCTGATGGTTACCAACACGTACTATCAGGAGGGAAATTAATGAAGCACCAGCTCCAAATGCCGTGAAGAAGGACTCTATTCTACGCATATATTTAAGAGCTTTTTGTACAATACCACGAAACCCTTCCGCACGTCGTGCATAATTACTAACATCCATCATAGAGGGTCTATTATTACCACTATTTCTTCCACTAACTGTTGTAGTAGTTGCTGAAGATAAACGATGTCGTCCTTCTGGAACACTTACACGTTCTATCATTTCCTTTTCCTTCACTATAAGTTTATTATGTAATGCACGTGAAACAAATAAACCATCATCATACTCATAAACAACATGACGACGTTGATGAGGGATTCCATCAATAGAAGCATTCACACTTTCATCCTGACGTACTCCTGTAACACCAAGTAAATTAACTCCTGTAGAAAATACAGATTCAATTACAGTATTCTGTACGGTATCATCCCTACTACCCCCTTCCTCTGAGGCATGCAGTGGACGGGGTTGCGTGGAACTCGGACTGATTTCATGTGTGAGAAAAGACGCAGAAACTCCCATGGGATCTACATGTCTCACTGCCTGTTGCATTATTAAAACAGGAAATTATATATATATATATATATATATATATATATATTCACTTCTTTTTCGTCTCTTCTTCTTCTTCTTCTATCTATATGTATGTTTAATTGTGTGGAATTGATTGTCTATTTATATAATAATAATATTCTTTCGAATAGATAAATGGTGCCTTTCTTGCTTCAAAATGCACCTTTTTTCTTTCGTTCTTCCATTCGAGATTTTGTCTGTAATAGATACAAGGAAAAGTACAAACCAAAAAAAAAAAAAAAAAAAAAAACA